CCAAGAAAACGCGACAACCAGGTGAGCAGCGAAGGGAACGGAACCGGGCCGATCCAGAATTGGATCATCAGATGGGTCTGCGGTTCTAATGTTGCTCTTCAGGCTGTGGGAAGTCCACGACGTCGCGCTGTTCCTTAGCATCACGCTCTACCTGTGCCACTCAGGTGAGTTTCTCAACTAAAAGCGGCATTTTATGCAGCTGCGCGCGTCAATCTGCTGCTTGGGTTAGAAAATCAACATTTCTGTCGAACAGAACCTCGAAAGTTTAATGTTTAATCATCTGCCTTCCTCCTCGGCCGGGCCTGAAATGTTTAAATAAACATTCCAGCAGAACCAGAACTGTTTGTCTTCTCAGGAAGACTAAAGAGAAACTATGGAGGCTGTAAACCAGTCGGTCCAGTTTCCTGCCTGATGCGGCAGGAAACTGGACCGACTGACAGAAACAGGACAACTTTTCTGCTCTCATGTTCAGATTCATCTCAGAATTTTGGGGGGAAAATCTTGGACATTTCTAATCTTGAGAAGTCCAACATTTTCTACTTTTGAACCTCATAAAATTAAGAAAAAAAAGAGATTTCTAAGAGTGAGCTCAAAGTTTTTTTCTGCTATGAATCTTCGACTTCTCAAACTGAAAACTTTCCAAGTTTTTTTTTCTGTGATTAATCTCTGCGTTTCTGAGTTTTTCTCAAAAATGTGTGAGTGCTCACAAATTTCCAAGTTTTTCCAATAAATATCAGAGGTTAATCTCAAAGTTTCTAAGTTTTTCTCTTGCAAATTTTCAACTTTCCAAACTAAAACTTCTTTCTCTTTCTTTTCTTTATTTATTTTTTAAGCACAATTTTTATATAATTTCTTTATCTTTATCAAATATATTGTCTAATTTTGGAGCTCAGAAATATCCATGTATTTTTCTAGGAAATGTCTGAGATCGGTCTCCAAACTGTGTAGTTTTCGGTGGGAATTGACTCCTTTTTTATTCATAGTTGCCCTGATACGGCGCCTTAGTTTCCTGCGTCGTCACCCAAACCTCTGAGCCGGTTTGGATCTACGTCTGGGTAAAACATTGACCTGTTTATGGCTCAGCAGGGGACCAATGACCCGAACGCTGCAGCTGGAACTGCTGCCATAAAACGGCCGAACAGCAGAGAAACGGAGCGAAGACTGAAGCTTCACTCTGTCTGAAGCTTCACTGTATCTGAAGCTTCACCGTATCTGAAGCTTCACCGTGTCTGAAGCTTCACCGTGTCTGAAGCTTCACTGTATCTGAAGCTTCACCGTGTCTGAAGCTTCACCGTATCTGAAGCTTCACTGTGTCTGAATCTTCACTGTGTCTGAAGCTTGTCCGTATCTGAAGCTTCACCGTATCTGAAGCTTCACTCTGTATCTGAAGCTTCACTGTGTCTGAAGCTTCTCCGTATCTGAAGCTTCACTCTGTATCTGAAGCTTCACTCTGTATCTGAAGCTTCACTGTATCTGAAGCTTCTCTCTGTATCTGAAGCTTCTCTCTGTATCTGAAGCTTCACTGTGTCTGAAGCTTCTCTCTGTGTCTGAAGCTTCACTGTATCTGAAGCTTCTCTGTATCTGAAGCTTCACTGTATCTGAAGCTTCACTCTGTCTGCTGGTTTGTTGGAAGAATTTCATCCGGATCCTCCAGTTAAGAACTTTAAATAAAATGTTCAGTTTCACAATCTGCTGCAGCTCATAAGTTTACATCCACGTCGGGTTTGTTTGTGCAGCTGATTTCTGCAGGACAGCAGCTCAGCACAGACTAAAACTTCATGATGCTCCAGAGAATCATAAAGTTGTTATTAATGCAGCTCTAGATAAACTGGATTTCAGCCTGATTTAAAGGAACTCAGTGTTTCGGCAGTTTTTGCTCCTGATTAGAGTAAAAACTGAATTTTGTTTCTCCAAGTTTGGTTCTGCAGAATAAGACGGGTCCACAGCTCTCCATTCACTTTTATTATACTAGTTATTATTTTCTAAATAAATAAACACCTTCATTTAAAGCTGTGTTTTGTATTTACTTGTTTTCTCTGACTAATATTTCTGAAACGCTGAGCTTCCTCCTCCTGATGATGGTGAACAGAAACCTTCTCTTCTTTCCTGATAAACTTAAACGCATTTAAAATTTAATTATTGTTATTTTTATGACAAAAGCTGCAATTAAAAACATAAAATCTTACCAAGAGTTTTTAGTTTCCAGTAAAAATATCATCTATTATTTCAGGTTTACTAACTTAGAAGTAACTTTTCAGCAAATATAGAAGTTTGTTTTCAGTAAATAATTCCTTAATTGTGATGAAAAACTTCTCAGATTATTTCACTTATAACACGGAAAAAATATCTTGTTACAAGGGGAATGAAACCTTTTCATCCTATTTTGGGCAAATTGTTGACTTTTCAAACTTTTTGTTTTTTTGACATTTTTAAACTCAAAACATTTCAGAATTTTTTCCAGCCAGTTTCTGAGATTAATTTGAAAATTTCAGATCGATCTTTTTTTTGGCAAATTATTGATGTTTCCAACTCGCAGGTGCCCTCGTTTATTCTAGAAAATTTATTAAATTAATCTCAAATTTTTTTATTTTTTTTCTCCAAGCAAGTTGATTATTTTTTGGGGGGAAAATTTTTGATTTTTCAAATTCAAATTCAAATTCTCTTGCAAATGTTCAACTTTCTGAGCTAAAAAATGTCCATGTTTTTTATTTATTATTATTTTGAACATATTTTCTATTTTTGGACCTCAGAAATTTCTAGAACATTTCTAAGATTAATGTCAAAATGTTTGAGGTTTTCATTTTGGGTAAAATCTGAATCGTTTCCCCTCGTCCTCCGGCAGCCAGATCGATCTCCGTCAGCTCCTCCAAGAGGAACCTGATCCGGTCGGTGCAGGACGATGTCTTCTTCTCGGTGGACGTGACGTCATCCGGCGTCCCCACCATCCGATGGAGCTTCATGTCCGGGGCGGTGAGCCGCCCCATCGGCGCCTGGCAGCCCGGCGGCATCACCAACATCACCCAGGACTACAGCGACCGGGTGAAGGCCTGCGACAACGGCTCCATGCTGCTGTCCGACCTGAAGCTGCAGGACGCCGGATACTACGTGGTGACGGCCGAGGACTCGGCCGGGAACAGCCGCGACCTTGGCTTCGTCCTCAAAGTGAACGGTGGGTCCTCCAGATCGTCCTTTCGCCAAACTTTCTGCTAGAGAACATGAGCCGCAAGACAACAGACTGAGGCAGATCAACAGTCTGTAAATATCTGAGTGCAGGAGAGTCAAAGGTCGACTTTGAAGTGTGTTGATGAACTCCATTAGTCAGGTGTTGAAATATTAAAAGTCGTAAAACGAAGGAGGGAAAGGTCAAAGGGTGAAAACTAGAGATAAAAGAAGATAAAAGCATCTCGGACAGCAAATCTTTGTTCTGTGAAGTTGGGGTCAAAGGTTAAATCGGTCTGGCTCTGGATCCTGACTCCGGTCCGTCTGTCCTGCAGAGGTTCTGTACGAGGATCTGCAGTACCTGTCGGTCACGGCGCTGGCGCTGATGGTGGTGGCCGCTCTGCTCGCGCTGGCCATGTGGCTGCTGCACAAGGGCTGCAGGAAGCTGGGGGCGTGGCGACGTCAGCTGCGGATGCCAGGTGAGGCCTTCAAACACTCACCGGAGAAACCAAAGCTAATGCTAAGCTAATGCTATTGGCATGAGGACGGCGTCCCTCAGGGCACAGGTCTGGGCCTCCTCCACGTTTTAAAGCATCTTTATGGAAAAACTGCAGCCGGAAAGTTTAATTTGAACTTTTTATTTTCTTACTGAAAAGTTTAAGCTGAAATTATTCACACCGCTAAATTTCTGATTCATTTCTTCACTTTGGAACCAAAAATCGTCCTGGATTTTGTTTGTCCTACACAAAGTGATACTTGGATTAGGATCTATTTTTAAGAAAATGAAGATTTAGCGATAAGCATCCACACATACGTTCCCCTTTTAGTCCAATACCCTGAAATAAAGACACCAGTTTTCAGTTAATCTCCGTCTGAATGCTGCTGTTCTGGGTAGAAAGTGCTGCTCCTGCCTTTCTGTACATCAGCCAGCCGTTCCAGGCTAACGCTTTAATTTTACATCCACTGATGATTTGAGTTTGTGACCCATAAATATTCATACAGCCGCGGTGAGTCTCATGTTTGTCCCGTTGCAGCAAATGATGCGACGGAGCTGCAGCCTCTGTGATGAAGACATGAACTCCTGCAGAGTCCAGACTCCGTCCTGAAGCCCGGATCAGATTTTAAAACTCCTGCATCATGTTTACATTTTGAACTGAACATGTAAATACACCCGACTCCCCTTATTTATTGTGGAATTAAACCAACCGTGTGATTTTATCTCAGCTGTGTGGCTTTATTCACCATCGGGACCTGAACAGGTTTGAGTCCGAAAAGCAGAAACATGAAAAACTTTTTCTGTTTAGTAAAAAAATGACAGGAAACGTCTGAATCAGAGCGTCACACTGCAGAAACACAGAACCAAGTATTTTAGTCCAGATCCTGAAATTAAATTAAATTTATTTTTAGATGACTGCAGATGCACGTCTGTTTGCTTTGTTCCTTTTTTAGTTGCACTTCAAAAACACTAAATCTTACCAAGTAACTGTCTGTACTGCAAATATCTTAGTCACATTTCACTAAAACCTGGGAAAATTACTTATAATTCAGTTTGAAACATTTAAACTGTACTAAGATATTTTTACTAGAACAAAGTTACTCTGTAAGATTTTGTGTTTTTGCCGTGAGGACCTTGAGTTTGAAACATTTTGGCTTGTTTAGTTAAACTATTCCTTAATATTAAGTTTTAGTTCCTTTGGCAAATTATTTAACTAACAACCTGAGAAAAATGTCAGGTTATGAGTGAAATAATCTGTCAGAGGAACTATTTTAAAATCAATATTAAGGAATTACTGACCTAAATGATCCTAAAGGTATTTAGGTACAAGAAGCTGAAAAGTTACCTGTAAGTTAGTTTTATGTATCTACAATCATCTGAAAATGACATAAAAGATATTTCAAGCGTTGCGCCAGAAAATACTTTGTTTTTGTGTTGAACAGCAGATCTTCCTGCAGGTTTGTCGTTTAAAAATCAGCAGTAAACAAATGTCTTCGCTTTTTCAAGTCCGACATGAATCTGATTCTGCTGAGCGAGAGCTGCGGTCCGGCTCCTCAGCTGAAGGTTGAGTGGAAGGAAAACCGTCAGCTCGGCCTACGGACAGGGAGTGAGCGCCGCCATGAGGAGCTCCATCTTGTAGACGAAGTTGCGTCCCTCCATCTTGCTCCAGTTGACCTCCTTGTGCGGACCGCGCAGCTGGCTCCACTTGGCGTCCTGCACCACGTCGCTCTTCGGCAGCTCTTTGATCTGGCTGCGCGGGAACTGGACCAGAACCTTACAGCCGCTCTCCGGGCCGTTACGCACTGGAAGGCAAGCAGAGGCCGGGTCAGGAGCCGGAACCGGATCAGGAGCCGGGTCAAGAGCCGGAACCGGATCAGGAGCCGGAACCGGATCAGGAGCCAGTACCGGATCAGGAGCCAGTACCGGATCAGGAGCCGGAACCGGATCAGGAGCCGGAACCGGATCAGGAGCCGGAACCGGATCTCTACTCTACAGGAATAGAGATGGATGCTACGGCTGAAGCATTTCATGTCAGTCTGTATTGATAATTATTGATAAGATTTTTGTTTTAAATATCTGAAGTGCTACCAGGCTGGTGGTTGGATCTTTCCTCTTTTGCCCAGTTTTCACTCCATGCTGTTGTTTTAGCAGTTATCAGGCAAAGTGGGGAAACATGAAACTGTTAACCAGCAGGTTGTTGCTAGGTAACCAAAGTGGGGGCGGGGGGCTGCCAGTTAACCAGCAGGTTGTTGCTAGGTAACCGTAGAACGAGTGAGTTGAAGTGAGTTAGCGAGCAGTGAGAGGTTGAACGTCCAAGTCTTTCCTTTGCCTACATTTCCCAGAATGCAACTTTTAAAAGAAAGACTCAGACTGATGATAACTCACGCTAACTGTTGAAGCTATTTTCTCATTTTTCCTGTTAAGATGCTTTGTGACCTCTAATGATGCTGTTCTGGCTGTTGGAACCGAACCGAACCGGCCCAGCGTTGGTTAAGGCCTCACCTGAGATGGCGTACTCTCCGTTGGGGGAAGCGACGGTGATGGCGGAGGCGTTCCCGACGCTCTCCACGGGGCCCAGCCCCACGTGGTTGCTGAAGCTCAGGACGTGCCAGCCCATCACCTTGGCCAGCTGCTGCACGGCGTGCACCTGGTGCTGCGACATCTGAAACGAGGCGCGCCGTCACACGCCGCCCGCTGCCGGAAACGGCTGCGGGAGCGACGGGCCGTACCTGAGAGAGGAGGAAGTCCTGCAGCTCCTGCTCCTGGTGCGACAGCGTGACGACCCGGCCGTCCCGGTGCACCACCCGGATCTGCTCCACGCCGATGTTCAGCTGCAGCTGGATGGACCTGCACGCACAGCAGCCATGGTTACCATGACAACAGGACGGTCTCCACGATGCCGGAAACGCAATAAAACGCAGAATATAACTGAATTCGCCGATATCTGCGACGGCGTATCGGCACCATTAACGATCGGAATAAAAGAAATTAATTTCAGCCAATAAATCTAACATTTTCTTTTAAAAAAGTGAAAAATTTGCTGCAATAAACCTCAATTTGTAGGATGGCAGAAATTTTTTAAAAATGTTTTTCGATTTGTGAAGCTGTTCATGTTTTTTTTTTTTTTTTCAAAATTTGATTCTTTTCTAGTAAATCTTCAACTTTCAAAACTTGGAAATCTTCAAGTTTTCTCTAAGAAGTTTCTGACTTTTAAAACTGAGGACTTTCAACTTTTTTCTAGAAAATGTTGTGATTAACCCCAATATTTTTAAAAAACAGTTTTATTCTAGAAAATTTCTGTCTTTTTCTCGCAAATCTTCAACTTTTGAAACTCAGAAATGTCATCGTGTTGGAATCTCGTTCTGTTTGATTAGTGACAGAATGACAGGAAATGTGAACCTCCAGCTGCTGATTCCATCAGTTTCTTTCATTCCACCATGACTGAAAACTTGTTGGGTTAATAAATATGTTTAAAATAAACAAAACAAACAATTAAGGGAAGAATAAAGTTGCCTTGTCTGAGGCATCAAACTCACTTGCAGATTTGCTCGTAGCCGTGCGAAGTGATCAGCACCTTGACGCTGGACTCGTAGACGTCGTTGATGTTGGACCAGTGGGCCTGGATCTGAGGGTCCTCGATGCGGCTGGCCAGGCTGTCGATGGTCCGAGCCGTCCTGCAGAACCAACCCACAGCGTTAGAGCCGACGCCAGAGACCGTCTGATTCTTCTGGATGGACCTTTACCACGAACAGGACCGCCTGCAATGCTCTGCGCACTGCAGCAGCTCTGAGCTTCCTTTAGTTTAAAATACACTGCTCAAAAAAATAAAGGGAACACTCAAATAACATCCTAGATCTGAATGAATGAAATATTCTCATTGAATACTTTGTTCTGTACAAAGTTGAATGTGCTGACAAGAAAATGACACAAAAATCATCAATGGAAATCAAATTTATTAACCAATGGAGGCCTGGATTTGGAGCCACACACAAAATTAAAGTGAAATGTTCCCTTTATTTTTTTTTTAGCAGTATATATTTAATTGGTGAATAAATAAACCAGAAGAAAGGCTTTGTGTTGTTTGGTCTCGTGTCATGGCGGCTCTGCGCCCCGACGCAGGGAGGATGACGACGCGGGTCAAATGAAAAGCGTTCTCAGACCGTCCGCGCTGTGCACTGGCCATCCCGTACGTCCACCTTCGAAGCCTCCTGTGTCCTGGCACACTGCCTGACCCGAACTGGCCTTCCAACTCTCTACTAATTGGTATTTGTGTTTTCTATCTTATTTTGTTGCCAACTGTGTACGATGTTTCGACATTTCTGTGTCTTCATCAGGTACGTATTTTCTTTATGTTCTCCCTCCGTTTCTTTCTGCAACTTAATTTAGCTTAGGCACCCCCATTTCTGTCCTGTCTCTTCCATCCACTGTATAAAATAAATGTCCACATTGACTTACAAAAATAATAAAGAATTCACACACTAGGATGAGGTTTAAAATACACTGGGTTGAGGTTTGCACAAGCACGAACACATAGGTAGGACCAAGGTAAGTATACACTTGGGGTGGGTTAAGCACACAAGGTTAGGTTTAGACACACACACTGAGGTTAGGATTAGGAAAACAAAAGGTCAGGGGTCATAAACGGTACGCATGACCAGTTTGGGTAATGGGCAGTGGGCAGGAAGACAGCGTGGGTTTCGGGGAGGCACGGACTCGATAAGGGACAAATGAAAACCGGTCTCAGACCGTCCGAGCAGTTCGCGCTGTGCGCTGGCTGAAGCAGGCGAAGCTAAAACTGCCAGACGAGGAGCTCTGGCAGTTTTGCAGAGCTCCTCTGTAAAACATTTTTAAAATGCTAAATATTTATATTTTTTATACAAGTGCTCTGGTTGTGTTGCATCGTCAGGAAATCGCCTCTTCACCAATTAATTGATTATAAATTTGTTGACATTTTAAAAATGTATTCATCTGATTAATTGTTTCAGTTCTACTTGAATTCAAATCAAACAGAAGCTGTAAAACAAGATGGCCGCCCTGACATCACTCTGAACCACAGAAACTCAAGGAGATCACAGGTGGAAAAAAAAAATCCAGATATTCCAAAAATTAAATCTTCAAAAACCAAAAATGTGATTAACTGCTAAAACCAGTTTATTGTTGAGGCCTAGTTAAAGCACGACGGCGCTACCTGCTGCGCAGGAAGATGTGTTTGGCCTGTTTGATGATCTTCTCCAGCAGCCCCTCGCTCTGCTGCAGGCTGGAGATCTCGGCCTTGTCGTACGCCATCGGCCCCGCCAGCCGCAGCCGCTTGTGGCCGAACGGCGCGCTGGCCGGATGCGGCATCACTACCGAGCTCAGCTGCTGCTTGTGGAACTGAAACGGGCAGAACATCAGCGGGTCACTTCCTCTGAGTTCGACTCGCGCGTCCTGCAGGGCCGAACTGCGTCACCTCTCTCATCATCTGGTGCAGGTTGTGCTCCAGGACGTAAAGATGGTCGTCCGGTTTGGGTTTCTCCGGAGAAGCTCGGCTGCTCTTCTTCTCTCCGGTGGAGTGGCACAGAGAGATGGAGAGCTGCAGACCTTCAGAGAGGACAAGAAACTGTAATTCTGCAAATAACACATATTTCTGAAACATATTTTAAAATGTATTAAGTAAAAATCAATATAAAATGAATAGATAATTCATTTTATATAAATGAAATATTTGATCTATCCAGTGAATATTGATCGGTTATTTATTGTTTGAACATCAGCTGTTAATTTTATTCCAGATTCTCAGATAATCTAGACTAACGTCCCAAATCCTTGAGAATTTGGCCTGAGAGTCCTTCAGGAAATGTCTCACTGTTTCCAGTTTGTAAAAATAAAGGATCTCTCTGGGACCGTTCTGTGGTTGAGATGAACCCGGGCGGTTTGGGTCCAGTAGAGACGCCGGGCCGGGTTCTGACCTGGGAAGGGCTGCGAGATGATCTGGTTCTTCACCACGATGTGCGGGATCTGCGCTTTAATCTGGACCGCTTCTCTGGAAAGCTGCGCAAAGATTTCCTTGCAGAGCAGGACGTTCTGCGCCGCCTCCAGCTTCACGTGCCACGGCTGCGTTCCTGGGGAAGGATAAAACGGACGGACATCAGCGCACAGCGCGGCTGGTTTGAGTCCAGTCGGGTCAGAACCGGACCTGCTTTGCTTTTCTGGGGTCTCCTGAAGAGGTTGACGGTTCCCAGGTCACCGATGTCTGGAGCCTGTTTCTGGATGGAGACCTGAGGACAAACACAGCCGCCATTTTTATTTCCACTGCAGCCGATTTCACAACCTTTTAGCAATCGATGAATCGGATAAAAAGTTTGGCAGATTTTTGTTCAAATCTTTTAATAGAATATTAAAAATATAGTAAGAGATGCAAATAAACACATAACCTGGGCTGGAACGCAGCAGCTGGTTGTTGCTAGGCAACCACAGAGCAGCGTGTTAGTTGATTCCAGTGTAGCTAGCAGTGAGAGGCTAAAGGATAAAGACTTTCCTTTTCCTACATCTCCCAGAATGCTGTGCGGTTCTGGCTCAGCGAATATCAGGATATTGATACTGATCACATCTCGCAATATACCTGGTTATTGATTTATTCACTAAATCAACACGTGAAAAGCTCTGCTGACTAAGATTTTAATTAACAAATGAATAATTAATATTTTTTTTTATTTTTCTGCAGATTTTGAAGTGAAGCTAAAACTACATTTGAAGACTTCTAGTAGAACAGATTCATAGAGGGTTTTTTTATCTTAAATGCAACATTTTTTATATATTTTGAACAGTTTTGGGTCTGAATTTGTTTTTTTTGTTTTTTTTTTTCAAATTCTAAGGTACTTTATGAAGCCCAAATGGAAATGATTATTTTTTTTTATTAATTTTAAATTCATTTTTTTTAGTTAATTTTATTGAATTAATTAATTTAATTACATTTTTCAGCAAATCACTTTTTTTAGCCTTACACTAGAGATGACGATTAACTGATTAGTAAATTAGTTGGTGATTATGTCATTGATTGATTAATCATGATTAATCGTTCCAGCCCAGCAGATTTAATGCAGAAACATGTTTCTGCGCGGCCGGGACTCAGACCTTGATGTAAGCCGATCCCTCCAGGTCGCTCGGGATCTGGACGTCCAGCGGACAGTAGTCCTCTGGGATCTTTTTGTCCAGATCAATGTCGGTGTTTTTGATCACCTCAAACGTGCCGGGGTGAGGAAAAAGGGAACCTAAACGAGTCAGTCAAGGATTAAAAAGTTAAAATAATCAGTTATTTGTTGGAATGAATCAGTTATTTACTGATCGGCGAGGTTTTTCTCACCTGCGCTCCGGTAGCTGAGGTCTCCCAGGATCTTGTCTCCGACTTTTCGGAGTTTCCACTGCGATCGGAGTCGCAGCAGCTCGGCGTTGAAGTCGCGCTGCCGCCGGTTCTCCTGGTTCTCGGCCACGGACTTGCTGAGCTTCTCGGCTCCTTTCAGGAGGAGCTGCGCCGCCGTGGCCAGAGATTTCTTTTTGCTGATCAGCTGGAAAACCTGCGGCGTCTGCAGAAGCAACGAGGAAACAAAACAACCCCAAACAGCGCAGAGACATCAGAAGGAAGAAGATTCCTGTGGATTTATTAGTTCATCTGCTCTGTTTTCATGTAGTTTTTGTTTTAAAATGTTAGTAAGAAGTGAACATGAGAACCAAACAGATCCAAACCGCCTGCCTGTGGCTCTGGCCAGATCTTCATCAGCAACAGATAAAAATCTATTTGAATATTTCAATAAAATATAAAACATAATTCTAGATGCCATTTCAGTGACAGTGGGACCAGGGGAGGAGAAGAAATGGGAAAATCTGATAAGATCACAAAAAAGCATCATTTAGTTATCCTTTATTTAAGTTTTATTAATTATGGCTTTTAATTATTTTACTTACTTTCCCTCTTTTTCCACCCAAAACATCTGTGACCCTCAGTTAACCAAGGAATATTGGAGAAAAGGAAAATAATAATGCAAATCAGAAAATAACTGTTGATACTAAAGAAAAAAAAAAACAGGATATCCTAACCGACGTATGTTAAACAATTTAATTGTTGTTACATAATTTGGTAATGTTCTGTATTTGTCCTGAATGAATTGATTTTAATATAAATCCTGTTGTTNTGCTTTTTTTTTTATTTTATTTTTGTTGCTGTTATTTGTTCTCTTCTCTGGTTATTTATCTGCTGATCAACACTTCTTTCTGTTAGTCTGTAATATTTGTTTTATAAACACTAACTGGTGAATAAAACTAAAAAAGTAAAGCTAGTGACTCCCCTGCATGTCTGCTCCGGTCAGGAAGGCCGACGGATCGGAGCCACGGATGTTTGACGAGGATTTTTAGCAGCTTACTTTTCCAGCGTTCGGATCCTGAGACACCGGATCCAAAGCCATGTACTTCTTCTCCTTCACCACGCTGAGCACGTCGTGGAGCACACACATCTCCGTCAGGGCGCTGCGCAGATTGTTGCGCACAGAATCCCAGGGCCAAAGAGACGGCTGGAACTTCACCGTGCCTGAAAGAAGCAACCATGAAGCCTGCAGCCTCAGCTCTGACGTCGCTTCAGGCTGGGAGACGTTCCTCCTACCTTCCTCTTCCTCCGTCTCCTGCTTGCCCCACTCCCTGTCCCTGGGCTCTCCGTCGGCCCCGTCCTCCTCGGAGTCGGAGCCCTGGCTGAAGTCAATCCTCTGTGCCAGCTTGGTCAGGTTCTGGGACATGGACAGAGGAGGGACGTATGTCTCCGTGCCGTGGAAGTCCACTTCCTGCACCTGCTTCTCACAGGAAGACTCGATGCTGATCCTGACAGCCGGACCACCCGACATGATGAGACCAGAGCTGCAGACAGGAAGAGGAGGAGCCAACACCATCAGATCACTTCCTGCTGGTTTAGAGGGTTCAAGCTGCAGTCGCCTTTACAAAAATATGATTTTTTAAACATTTTTGCTAACATGATCATGTCATGACAGCAGAGTTGCATAGTAACTAATAACATTTACTACGCTGTACTTTTTATTTTTGAGTAATTTTATTATGAAGTATTTCTATTCTCAGTAAAATTTCTGGGTTTTCTATCCACTGAATGAAAAACAAACATGTTTTAACCAAAAATTCACCAATAAAATTTCAGAAGTTTTTTTTTATTGAAAGAAAAAACTGAAAGATTTGGAAAAAAAATATTTTGCCTAATTTTATTTTTCGTTACTTATATGAATTATTGTCATTTTGCTCCTTAGCATACCAAAATTTCCACTTTACTTTATATTTTGATTCGTCTGATGATGTAATTTTGAAACATTAAATGATTGATAATTTCATCAGTTACTCAGTACTTGAGTAGACTTTTTATCAAATACTTTTTTACTTTTACTTGAGCAACAATATGTTAAAGTAGTGATACTCTTTCTGCTTTCTCACAGTAATAACTACAGTAATACACCACTCTGTCAGAAACAACCAATCAGAGCCAGCAAGAGGGTCTTAGTGCTGTCAATCATGCTCATGCTCACTCTCCCCCACTTTTTCTCTCCTACACTACAGCTGATTCACCACAGCATAGCCGGCCACAACTGCTAATTCTAGTTAGCACAGCCATGGTTGACAGTCGATAAATGGTTTCCCCCACAACATAAATTATTTCTCGACATTAGCACATTTAGCAGCAGGTACATGAGCATGATTGACAGCGCTCAGACCGCCTCCCGTTTAAAGCAAAGTCTCCAGATTTCACAGTTATTACACTTAGGTTGAGAAAGGCAGAATATCAACAGAAAATGCAGAAAACACGCTAAAAAAAATCTAAAAAATAGATTTGCATTTCTTCCCTTTATTTGTCAGCAAATTTTAAATTTTTGGCATCAAATTTGCGGGTTTGGAGGTAGAGAAAAGCTGAATATGATTCAAACACTGTCAAGCATGAAGGTGGAAGAAACTGACCGGAAAAATAGCAAATATCCAAAATCTAAACATCTTCAATCTGCCTCCAGAGCTACTGATCCAGATCTCCGTAAAAATACTAGAAACGTTCGGATTGCTCTTTTATTAAACAGACTGTTTTATTTTAAATCATCAGGGTTCCTCATTATTAGCTGGATTCATTTTCTTTAGTCAACATAGCAATATTAGCTCACATTAACTGTTCGTTACCCCAACGGAATATAATTAACTAAACACCAGAACTCACGAGAACAGAAACTACTTCAGAGAAGTGTTAATCGAATAAATCTCACCTGCTACTCAGAATACACCCGAATATGAGCGATTATTCGCTGAAATTAGCCAGATTTGGAGCTCTGTGTTGCTTTTTCTTTCCTAAGAACGCAGGAACTGCAGGGTCTGCACCATTTAAATGCCGGGGCACTTGGGTAGTCTGTCTTCCTTAAGCGGGCGGGCAACAGCCGCTAAAACACAGCCACTTTATTTTGATGGGCTCACTTTCAAGCGTAACAGGGTTCTCTGTACCCAAGCACATGTTTGGTGTTTATGCAGCAGCATGCTTTCCCATGGGGATAGGCCATATACTTCTGCTCGGTCAGTAACAAGTTTGGGATTAGTTATATCGCTTTTTCCTTAACTGTATTTTTTTTTTTTGTAATCTGCAGTTGAATAAACCCGCAAAGTCAGCTTAGTACCCTCTTCATTAAGAAATTCTTCAACCTGCTGGGATCAATTTTATTTTGTGATCGACCGCCTCCCGTGTTGGAAGTTATCGAATTGTCTGACGCTGAAATAAAAATGGTGCAGATCCGGTGTCACAACATCATAGAACCCCTGACATTTTTCGTAACTCCGAAAAACACCCGACCTCCACTACTATCAGCTGTTGACTTTTTAAGTGCTTCAAAAATGTTGTAATCAAGTTATTGTTATTTTAATATAATTAAAATTGAATAATATATATTTATAAATCAGAAAATTGTTGTAAGTAGGAACCAAAGTGCTTAAAAGCTACGGCGGTCAATTTAAACCACCGGATATGACGTTTAAAACACAAACGGTCGGTTTTGTTCAACGGGTTAGAGTTCTCCTCGAAAAAATGGAGCATTTAGCTGTTATTTCCTTTTATTTATAACATAACTAAGCTTTTATTTCACGCTTTAACCGTGGGATTAGGTTACAATGGTTGCTGCGGCTCGAAAGGAACGGGTTTTGGACTCCGAGAGAAGTCATGTTAGCCTAATTAGCATTCAGACTCGCTTTTGTGAAAGTGCCCGGTAGCATTTTTAGGAAAATGAAGAGAAAAGTGTCGAAATTAAGATTGAGTCCCAACGAAGAGGCTCGTATAATCCGCGAGGAGCTTGACAGGCGGAGGAAACTACGGATCCAGCAGGTAATGGTTGGTTTTACCAGAAGATTCTGTCGCTTCAACCCAGATATCAGTCATTATTCTGTTTTTTAATCCAGTCAGATTCAAACCAAATAACTCTGCTTTTTAAAAAACAGACATGAAATGTTAAAAAGTTATCTATTTGAACAAATAAGCTCTATTTATAAACTGTTCAGCTTGATCCAGAGGAAGCATAAATGCAAGGGAGTCGCTTCAGTGGAAAGAAATGACTCCCTTTTCACAAGAAGAAAACCCCAGAAAAACCAAACTCAGAAAGAGTGACAGGACCGGGAGTACTTTCTATGTTGGAAACAGAAAGACAGAATGAAGCTAGGGGATAAATTAAGGCAGCAGAGCAAGGATTAGATCTTGAGTTCTCCCTTACTGTTTTTTGATACTGCGTCCAGAACCAGTTTCTGACCTGACGTTGTGCGTTGGATGTCCAGGTGCGGGAGCAGCAGCGGCAGATCGCGCTGCAGATCCGGCGGGAGGTGGAACGGCGGCGGCAGCAGGAGCTGCGGCAGCTGGAGGAGCGGCTGAGGGAGGACTGGGAGAGGCGCCAGAGGGAGAAGCTGCACACGCTGCAGAGTCTGTATCTGGAGAGCCTGCAGCTCATCGGCCAGAGCCACAGGAGCGCCAAGGAAACCGTGAGCTAGCAGAGGCTTCCTAGTTTAGCAGTGAGAAACACGTTGCTGTGGAGCCAGAATGTGGCTAGAGTAATAAGCTAAAGGAAGGTTTTATATTCCTGCTTCAGGAAGCTGACCTGGCAGCTGCAGCTCAGAGGGAGGAGGAGCATCATGCTAAAGCAGAGGAGCGTTACCGTGAAGCTCTGAAGGAACTCAAGATCCAAAAGACTAAAGAGCAGGAGAGACAGAAACGGTGAGATTCCTGAAAGCTGTTAAAACATTTGTGTTGGTTCAGAACTGTAACTTCCCTCCTTCATTTATAGATCCATCAATGCGAGGAAGAAGGCGCTGCAGACGGAGAAGGAACGATCAACTAAAGTGGCCAGACTCCCGCCGCCTCCGCCTGATCCCATCCAGGTGCTTCCCTGCAAAATTCAACCGTTTTCAGATTGTTTTCCTACTCTGGCAAATGTATTTGGTGCAAGTAGCAGTGGGTGACCGGCACTCAAAGTTTTATCACCGTATTTTGTGAACCATTGCTATGAATCTATAGCTGTGACTGCAGGGCTCAGGCATCAGTTTGTTTCTTACTTCCGATACCATTACAGATATCTGAGGTTTAGCATCAGATATCTGATACAGAAAAACAGCCAAATTAACTTAAAATGTTTTCTATTTTTAAACACAAAGGTAAATGTACCTGAGCTACATTCAGTACATTAACTACACCAATAACTTCACAAGTTTGGTCAAACATGTAAAAACAACTTTAATTTGTTCAGTCAGAGCAGTTAGGAGCAAAACTGGCAGTGGAAAATAAGTAATAAAGAAACTGATCAAAACAATAGGTTGACTATCCTGGTGAAACGTGAAAATAAACTGAATCAAATTTTCTTTGAAATGGTTCAGAAAGTGCAATTAAGAATTCTAAATATAACGTCTAGATATCTAGAAAAATATCTAGATTTTTCTTCAATATTGGGACCAAAACAAATATCAACATTGGGTCGGTGCAGCTCTGGTTTTCACATTTGTTGGTGGGGAAAATAGTAAATCTAACAATGCAGACAGTTATGTTTTTCTATAAATGTCATTAGTTGGAATTTATCATGACAAAGGTACCATATTTTCCGCATTATAAGGCGCATAGAATAGACGCTGCAGGAGAGGCTGGAGTTACATTATGCATCCACTAGATGGAGCTGCACTAAAGTGAATGTTAAAACAGTCCGACTCCGGTCAGCTAGGAGAGCCTTCTGACTGGGCCGGGGCGTGGCCGGACGATGGTCACCCTTCTCCGTTCGCCCACAGCATGTTGGTGGAGAACCTGGTGCTAAATGACCTGCAGACGACCTGATTCTAGACGGTCGGTAGGTAGATAGGTCAGTCAGACTTTATTAACAAACCAGCGTTCTGACAACTATCCCAGCATGCACTGCGCGCTTTTTCTTCTACCGGGGGAAAATGAAGTCAGCGGCTGCTTACCGTAGTTGCTGGACCTGTCGTGGCTCAATATTGGTCCATATATAAGGGGCACTGAAGGTTTTTGAGGAAACTGAAGGTTTTTAGGTGCGCCTTATAGTGTGGAAAATACGGTAAATGTAAATTCCTCTCATAAGTTCATCATGATAAATGATGAACGGTGCAGTAAATGCCCAGCTGTGGCTCCGAGGTTTGACTGTTTCCTGGTTGGAGCAGGACATCGATCCCAGGAAGTCCCACATGGTGAAGAGGTCGGATCTGAACGCCTTCGCTGCCACGCACTATCACATGCCAGAGAGCGCCGTGGAGAAGGAGCCTGAGGCGGCACAGGTCAGAGAGCTGCTTCTGCTTCTGGTTCTGGTTCTGATGTCCGCCGACTCTAAGCTCTGGTCGTCTCTGCAGCCTGACGCCAGACTGGAAGCTGACCTGGAGTCCAGGAGGCTGCAGGAGCTCCAGAGGGAGGAGGAGAGGAGGAGAGAGGAGCAGCTGGAGAAGGCCCGGGTCAGAGGGAGGCAGGCCCTGAGGAGGGAGCAGCTGGAGCAGGTACGCCTCCAGTCCTGAAACTCTGACTCACAACGACTGCTGGACAGTAAACGATCCCAGTAATCATCACTATAAACAATGTGATGTTGTTTTGAGAACATTCTCTATTTGATGATGGCATAATAAAGCAAGTTCACCCTGAAACTGGAAGACATTTTAAATATCCAAAATAAAACCCAACTGAAAACAACAAAACAAATAACAGAAATAAAAACCACACACAATTTTCCTATATGCAGCTTCTACATGTTCACATTCAGCACTATGTAAAATAAAGTAACTTGTGCTTGGTAGTGATTCAGCCCTTTAGTCTCATTATCCAGTTTGTTGGTTTCTTGCTCTGTTCTTCTTCGCTGTCTTTGGTTTGAATCTCCGTTTCTCCCACTTTTCTGTTTTTGTACGTTTTGAATGTTTCTAATGCAGTCATGTGAACTGTTCTCACATCTCTTCTGTTCAGATGGTAGTTTCTGTGCTGCAGATGTGTTAACAGCAGCCTCTGGTTTCAGGACCGGCAGCGCCTCCTGGTGGAGCTGCAGCACCTGCAGCAGACCGACCTGCTGCGGCGAAGGCAGCAGGTGTCCCAGATGCCGCCTCAGATATTCCAGCCTCTCTACCAGAGGCAGGAGGCCAGAGAGGAGCTGCAGAGGGAGCTGGAGTTCGCCTTCGAGGACATGTACACCGGAGAGAGACGTGAGGGCGGCTCGGCTGAGGATTGATTTAGGCCGTTTACACACCTGATGGTTCGGTAGACTCAGTAAGAGTAGCACTACTTCAACATGTTTTCTCTCAAGTAAAAAGTAGCAAGAAATTATTCAAGTAAGACTTAAAAAGTATTTTGTAAAAAGTCTTATGTACTGATCAAATTATCAATCATTTAAGGTTTAAAAATTACATCATCGGACAAACAAAATATAAAAGTTAAGTGGAAATTTTGGTATTTTAAGGACAAAAATACCAATAATTTATATAAGTAACAAAAAATATAAAAATCAGGCAAAACATTTTTCTTTCAATAAAAAACTTATGAAACTTTAACAGAATCTGCAGGTTTTTTGGTTAAAATGTGTTTGTTTTTCACTCAGTAGGTAAAAAAATCCAGAAATTTTACTCGTATGGAAGAAGCAATTCTTAAAAATAAAATTACTCAAGTAAAAGTAAAAAGATGAACTTAACCGTCTCCTAAAGTAAAAAATACTCCTAAAGCCAAACGTGTTCAACAAAAACAGGATGGCGTCGGATTTTTCTTTTCTTTGGATAAAGGCCTCGAGTCATTTCTGCTGCTAGCGCTAGGTTAGCATGTTTGTTTGGGTTGCATTTACCCAGAATGCCCTGCGCTGTAGTCCACTTCCTGCTTTGGTCTGCTGCATTCACATATGCATTCAAACCGCTGCAGTGTTCACTTCAGCCAAACCCAGACTGAAGTTTGTAGGTGGACCAGAGTTAGCTTAGCATTCACACCTCACCAGCCGAACCGGACTTTTTGACCAACCGGACTGGAGTGGGATTAAAGCGGTTTAGACGAGGCGGGTGTGAACGCATCCTGAGCCTCTCTGCATCAAAGTCGTTTCTTTTCTCAGGGGTTAAAGGTGATCTGGTGGTCCAGCTGGTACCGGAGCCTCTGCCAGCCTCATCCAGCACCGGCCAGGACCTGGATCTGGACCCGGACCGGGACCTGGATGTCACTGTGGATGAAAACTCCGAACCCGAGGCAGAAAATATTCAGAATGAAGTTGAAGGAGAGCAGGAAGCAGCAGATGGTGAACGAAGTTTTGACTAAAATCTCCCTTCTCACGTCTGCGTCTCGTTTCACATCAAACTCTCTTCCCGCAGGCGTCACTCCTCCCAGACAGGCGCTCCGGAAACTCCTGGATCGGATCCGGAGCCAAAGGACCGACTGGATCAGCGGCAGCAGCCGGGTTCCTCCGTCCGTCGACTCAGAGCTGATCCCAGAGCGAGACATGAGCATCGAAACCGGATCTCTGACCCCCGAGGCGCTCGGTGAGCCCGCCGTCCGTTTGCTTTGTCTCCATAGCAACGATGAAAACTACCAGTTTGATGCTCTCATGACGATAATCACACAGTTTTAAACTGATTACATAATTTCCTGAAATGTGAATTTTTTAGGTGCTTTTCTCCAACATTAATGTTTCTGTTTTTGTGTTTGACTCATGCAGCTGTGGAACCAACAGAACCGCCACCCGCAGCAGAACCTTCACTTCCTGCTGGATTTCTGAGCAGAATCCAGGAAGCCGAAGAAGAACGGAAGAAGCGGGTGAGAGAGACGGTTAAAATGTTTGTCGGCCTGTCATGACGTCAAATTCTCCCAGAAATGAAATAAATGAGTGTTGCTGTTTAGAGACCATTTTTAGTCCTCTAGTGATGATGTGTGGACTTGTAGAATCGAGGCTCATATGTTGAAAGTTTTCACCGGTTTGTTTGTTTGATAGGAAGCGGAGCTGGAGGTGGAGAAGCAGCAGCAGCTCGCTCTCCTCCAGGAACTGGAGGAGCAAAAAGCCGAGCTGGAGCAGATGCTGCAGGAGGCTCAGAGGGAGAGGGAGCAGCTGAGAGCTGCCGCCCAGCAGGAGGCGCTGCTGCTCCAGCCACAGGTTCCTGACCAGGACCGCGCACCGGCCAGCTTAACCTCTGAGGAAGAAGTAGGTCCAGCATGTCTGAACAGAGTTACTGCAGCATGGTAGCCTCACCTCTCAGGTCAGGCTTTCATATTTCAACTTGAATTTCAGGATGTCGGCCATTTTTCTTTTTTTATTCCTTTAAACCAGATATTGCCATAAAATGCGACACATTTTCATGCCTTGGTTGAATTTAATTCGCATCATGTTTTCGACTTTAAGGTAATAAAGCAAAATCGGATCCAAACCTGAAACTGGGACTTTGATGTTTGCGAGTTAATTTTTCTTGATGACCATAGTGGCCATGTTGAAAAAGTTTTAGGAAATATGATTTATATGAGTCCAGTTGTGTCCGATTTGACGTGAAGAGTATTTATAAATGATAGATATTGGCAAAAAATATTTTTTTCTTGAAGACCATCTTGAATTTTTCAGTGGTTGACGTTTATTTTCCAAAAAGCTGCCCTGAGAACGTCTGCATGTAACTGACATGTTCAGTTCTCTGCTGCAGTGATGACTTCCTGTTTCCTGCAGGCGGTGGCTCCTGCACAGGAAGACGTTTCCACCAGGAGGCTCAGACAGTACCAGCAGCGCCTGCTGGAGCAGAACAGGTGCGTATCGTTTCTCCTTCAGCTCCAGCCGCTCCGTCAGCCCGACTGAACGAAGGCGATCTTCCAGGATTCACCAGAGATCCGTGGAAGTGGCCCGGCAGCGGCTGGAGGAATACCAGCGAGCTCTCCGGATCCGCCACAACCTGACCGCCGCCGCCTTGCTGAGGCCTCCCGTTCACCCTGCGTTCCTCGCTGCCCCGTCTGACAGTCGCCCAGCGACGCCCTCCGAGCCTTCAGACGTGTCACTTCCTGCTTTCAGCAGCAGCGCCGACTCCAGCGTACCGTCGGATCCGTCCGTTACGAACTGGTTCAGCTCACTGAGACCAGACGCTGCTCCGCTCGCCGACAGCCAGAGGTGGGCAGAGAATCCAGGACCTGATCTCAGAGAAATACTTCAACATGTTTTTACTCAAGTAAAGGCAAAAAGTTTACTGAAGTACTGATCAAATTATCATTTAATATTTAAAAATTACATCATCAGATGTATCAAAATATAAAGTTAAGTGGAAATTTTATTATTTTAAAGAACAGAATGAAAATAATTCATGTAGGTAACATAATTACAAATCAGTTTCTTCCAACTGATGAAACGTTATTAGAAGCTCCAGTCAGTCTGGTGACTTTCTGGTTTCTGCATGTTTGTTTTTCATTCAGTGGAAGAAACTCCAGAAATGTAAGAGTAGAAATACTTAATCAGTTGGATAGTAACTGTTTATATTTACTCAATTATATTTACTTGAGTAACTTTTTTGAAAACTGTATTTTTAATGCACTGTATTTTTTACTTGAGTAATTTTATTAATTAAATGATAATTTGATGAATTACTCAAAACTTTTTACCAAATACGTTTTTACTCCGACTTAATTTTCTAGCCAGCTACTTTTACCTTTACTTGAGTAAAAATATGTTAAAGTAGTTCTACTCTTACTAAGTGCAGTTTTTGGATTCTCAGCCCAGAAACTATTCATAATAAAATTACTCACCTAAAAGTAAAAATACTTTAAAAGTGCATTATTTCCATAAGTTACTCGAGTAAATGTAACTAGTTAGTATCCATCTCTGCCGGACAGACCCGGAGCTTCGCCGGTCGCTGCTCGCGGCTCAGCCGGCGCCTCGGCCACCTTTGACCCGATGACCTCCAGAGACCACAGGAGACGGGAGCTGCAGGCGGCCCAGAGACGGGTGGCGGAGCAGAGGGCGGCGCTGGCGCTGCAGAAGGAGCAGCAAGAGGAGGAGCGGCGCAGAGCAGAGGAGGAGCTGCAGCACATGAGGAGGCAGAAGGAGGCGCTGCAGGCTCTGATCGACGCCGATGGACGAGTCAGTGGCTTCACTAATCAATAACCTGATCACAGCTAATTGATTAACTGGAGTAGAAAGACTCAGAAAAGACAATTGTTCTGTAAAAAATGTTCTACCTGGAACATATTGCAGGTAGAACATTATGACCTGTTTACTATTGCAGCTTTAGCCTGAAATCCTGTAAATATTGAGCAGCTTTTACTGTCAACATGATGATGATCAGCAGATCAGCCTCACTGCATTGAAGGGATTATTAGGATTATTTTAGCTGCAGATCCTTTGCTGCTACAAATTATCAGATGTTTACTGAAGAAATAAACATTTTACTGCACTTAGGCAGTAAAATGTTTATTTTCTAATTTAAGAAATAAATTATATTGTTTATGTCTAATATTGTATAAAATATGCAGGATTTGTTCTGTTTAATCTGAGTGAGGACCTCCTGGTGTTTCCTCAGAGCGGTTCTGATTCTCCCAGTGACGCTTCGGACCCACAGGAAGCCGAGCAGAAACGGCTGCAGCTGCTGGCGACTCTGCTGAGAGCCATCGAAGAGTCGAACGGAGGAAGTCTGTCCCACCTGGAGGAGCCGGAGGAGGGAGACGACCTGAGAGGAGCAGGTATCTGCCCATAAAAACCAGCTCTTATTAACTTTATACAGAAGAGTTTATCTTCTCCCTTTAAGGCTGTAAAAGTCTTTAAATATGGACAGATTTTCCACATCATATCTAATCTGATATTTAATTTTGTGTTTGAATTTCTCTTCATTCACTTAGGGCTGCACAGATCGAGATTTTCTGATCCTTGGCCACCACCGATTCTTTTTGTTTGGTTGGTTTTGTGATGCCTGGCATGTCAGGATCAGTCAAATATGTTCAAACCTGTGGACAGATTTCTGATGTGTGTGTGTGTGTGTGTGTGTGTGTGTGTGTGGTAACAGATGGCCTAATGGTGAATTAGTCATGAAATTCATACAACATTCTGCATAATTTCACCATAAAGCTCAAGAAGATCAATAACTTCTTCACATTGTAAAGTCAGTAGCTCCAGCATCCATCACTGCATTTTAATTTTAATTCTTAAATACCTTCATAATGTAACGTTGTTATTTAATGTTATTATTATTGGTGGTTAATTCCTGTGTAATTAACTCCTGGCCGCCGTAATGCAGCACCCAGTTAGCTTTGTTGATCTGCATCGTTTATCCAGGTTTAATTGTTTTAAAATATGTTCTGTCGTTTCCTTTCGAAGCTCCTCTGGTTCCGAGCGTCGTTCCTCCAGAACCTTCTGGACTCCTCCATCCTCCACGGACGCAGAAGCCTCCAGTGACTCGGGTCAAACTGGGTTTCAAGTGGATGATTCCTCAACAACATGAGCTCAGCGCCATCCAAGAGGTGGAGACTCCGGTCAACATGAGTCGGGTTGCAGGTCCGCCTCCACTCCTTTGGTTCCGGACCCGTTTCATCCAGTATTTAAACCAGGAGAAGCTCCTGATGATGATTCTTGTCTTTTCAGGCTGTAGACCCGATTCTGCTGAACGGCGGCTCGCCTTTTCAGGCCCAGAAGACGACGATCCTTCACACCTGCAGGAAGGTTCAGGATTTTTCTCCACGTCTGACTGGATTCTGGAGTCTGGCTCCGTCTCCAGCTTCAGACCCAGTTCTGCTGGGAGGCGGGTCGCCTTTTCAGGCCCAGAAGACGACTTTCCTTCACACTCAGCAGACTTCAGCCTGCGGTGCGGTTCTGCCAAGAGACGGGTCGTCTTTTCAGACACTGAAGACGACGCGCGTTCCCGCTCAGCAGACGGAAATCTGCAGGATGGTTCAGTACATGACACCAGGCAGTCTGGGTCCGTCTCCAGCTGTAGATCGGACTCGGCTGGGAGACGGGTCGTCTCTTCAGGCCCAGAAGACGACGTTCCTTCACGCCTATCAGACGTTAATCTGCAGGATGATTCTGCTGACAGCCGGGTCGGGTCGGAGACCTCCTGCCGCCTTCCCTGGAGGGAGCGACTCCTGTCTGGGGCAGCATCGACTCCAGAGTCGTCTGGTTCTGGTACGGATGCACAGAAACGACCTGCTGAGGGAGAAGACGTGAAGCTGCAGTGATTCTCCTGTTTTTCTAGATTTGGCCATGAAAGCGACGTCAGCGCCTTGTTCTGATTCTGGAAGAGGAGCCGACTCGCCCGGTCCTGCAGCTCTGAGCTCTAGATCCCCCTCAGAGGTAACCGCGCCGCGCAGTCTGTGTGACTCTGAGAATCAGACGGATTTGACTTCATATCTGGACTTTCTTCTCCTGTGAATCCCCTCTGAGGTCCACCGGCTGTGGATCAATGATGAAAACTAGCCAAATCTGAGAGCCGAGGCAGACGACGCCTCCGCCGCTGATTACGCTGGAGAAGCTTCTGTGTGTGTGTGGTGTGTGTGTGTGTGTGTGTGTGGGTATGGGTGTGTGTGTGTGTGTGGGTATGGGTG